GGAGGTATCTTTACCGAACAGAAAAATAAGAATATAGCAGCAGATAAGACACACGGAAAAGAAAGAAAAAAATCATATAAATCGGCCTCAGTCTGGCCCTGGGGAAGAGCGAGATCGTTCGTGGTCTTGCCTATCGCAGCCAAGGCGGTGAGCGGTGAAGTCACATGGCGGTGTTGACAGCTCGCCTTCCCTTTCGGTTGCGATCTGCTGCATTGGAGTCCTTGGTATATCTTTGTGGATCGATACCTGGCAGATCTTCTGTAAGAGGGAGGTAGAGCCTAGTGTGGCGCTTCTGTTTGTCTTCTTTACGTTTTTAATCCGCCGATTACCAAGAACCAAGGGCTCTTGCTTAGAACTACTAACATAATGTCCGCTAAGGTATCGGAGCAGGACATAAGCCAGTCGGTGCTGAATTTCGTGACCGATGGTACTTATCCAGTATCGGAGGAAATTGTCGCCTCTGGTTTTCCTAGCTCTTTCCTGGCGAAGGAACTGGAGCTCATATCGAAGGCTAGGGAGCAAGTTGAAGTAAGTAGTGTATCTAATGCGGAGCTCCGCTTAAGTAGCAGCTCAGATGGCAGTATAACTAAATGAGAATGTCCTATAGGCCGAAATTAACTTCCTCAGTCGTGAGAACAACTTCGATGCCGACGGATGGATTTCACAGGCCAAGCAGCTTCATGCAGACATTGAACGATCTAGAGTCACTGCGAGGGAAATTGTCGAGCAACATGAGAAAACGCAGCCTTTGCAATTGAAAGTGGAAGACGCTTCCGCGAAAGTTGGACTCATTGAGACCGAAATTGCGTTTAATCAGGCGGTAACCAGTGCGCTGACGGAAGTACAAAAGCTTTGCGAACAACTAGACGACGGACGAGCAGCTCTCGGAGAGGGCCGCACCATGGCTGCCATTGACATATTGGAATCCACTGAATACGCTGTCAAGCAAAGCAGTCATTTCACAAACACAAATGTTCTACATATACTGCTAGAGAATGCTGCCGGACTGCGAAAAGATATTATGGAGGCTGTCCGTAACCGCTGGAACGAACAGCTGCATATTGATAAGACTGAGGGAAAGCTGACCATTGCTAAGGACAGCGGTATGTTTCTTCCGTTGGATAGCGCCAGGTAGCTCATGTTCACTAACAGATTTCATAGAAGATACATTGCACGAGACCATCGTGGCCTTGACCAGGCTTGAGATGTTCCCTTCAGCTAGGGATAGGTTTCAAAAGGAATTAATTTCGAAGATAGTTGACCCGATATTGCTTCCTGGAGCCACTGGACGTAGCCACGGGTGCCATGTTTTAGGATCTACAATATACCTTGAGCCGCAGCCATCAATGGTATCAATACCCGAGCTGCTTGAACGTCTAGTCAAGGTACTGGGCTTCTTGAAGCAGCATATCCCCACTCCTATTGGGGAATCATTCTCAGAAATGTTCATTCCCTCGTTGTCCTCCAAGATAATTGATCTGTGGTTAGCACCTGCTATTCCAACCGATCTCGAAGGCTTGGGACAGTTTGAGCAAATACTCGATCATGTTCTCAAATTCACGAAGAACATTGAGAGTTTTGAATGGCGCGGCCAAGAAGAACTCATCTCTTGGGTCAACCAAGCCCCGCGTCTCTGGATAGCTAGACGGCGCGTTGACTCATTGGATCAGGTTCGGAGAATCCTCGCTGCTTCTCGAGGCACTACAGAACGGGTTGAGAGAATCGAAGTTGAGAAGGTTTCGGGGAGCGATGAAGCTCTGCTGGAGAATGCTACACCTGATGATTGGGACGCTGGTTGGGAAGAAGACAACGAAAGCGGTTCCAAGGGGAAGCAGCCCAGTACTCTCGACGACGAAGAAGACGTGAGTGCCTGGGGGCTGGATGATGATACTGAGGAACATGACCCCAAAACGAAACATGACACGGCCACGGCATCTGCGGACAATGACGATGATGCTGGAGATGCCTGGGGCTGGGGTGATGAGGATGAAGAACAGAACGCCGAGATCTCAGAGCCGAAGACACCAGTTGTGCCTGCAATTGTCAATGGCAAGGGTGGGGCAAGCCATTCCACTCCCAGAGAGGTTACTTTGAGGGAGAAGTACACCATAACGGACATCCCCGACTCAATTCTGGGAATCGTCAAGCAACAAATTGTGGACTCCAATACCATATCCCAGCCTGCGTAAGTCTTTCATGGCCAGAGCCTTATAGTTGCTAATACGTTACAGACATGCCCATTCACGCGTGGTTTCCTCCGGAACAGGACTTCTCGCACTCCCAACTCTGATACTGGCCATGTTCAAAGCCACGGCCTCCACTTTCTACGGTCTCAAATTGAGTGCAGGGCAGATGTATTTATATAACGACAGCTTGTATCTCGCTGGTCAAGTCCGTGATCTGGCAGAGGAGTACCAAATCACTAGGCTTCATGCAGATATTGAAGCTCTCGAAAAATATGGAAAACTGGCTTACAGCAAAGAAATGCAGACCCAGCGCACAATTGTCACAGATCTTCTAGACGGTGCACAGGGCTTCAGCCAATGCTCGGAGCAACCGTTTCTGGGCGAATGCGAGAATGCAGTCAGCGCCACCGTGGACAGAATTCGCGACGTGTTTAAGGAATGGCAGCCTATCCTGTCGCAGTCTGCACTTCTTCAATCGATCGGCTCATTGGTTTCAACTGTCATAAGCAAGATAATAATTGAGATCGAGGATTTAGGTGACATTTCAGAACCTCAGTCACAGCGGCTTGTGTCATTTTGCAACCAAGTGACTGGGTTGGAAGATCTATTCATCCCGGAGGGCCCAGATAGCACCGAGCGTTCGCCTATGACGGCCGTTTATGTACAGAATTGGTTGAAGTTCCAGTATCTTATCAATATTCTGGAAAGCTCGCTGGCTGACATCAAGTTCCTTTGGCTCGAAGGCGAATTGCGTCTAGAGTTCTCCCTAGACGAGGTCGTGGATCTGATTGAAGCTCTTTTTGCTGAATCCGACTACAGGCGAAAGGCGATCGCGGACATCAGAAGGGCGTCGCGAGGGCAATAGTCATTAATTTCAATTGATGTATATAAACTTTGGAATCTGAATTATTGTTGTATTGATCGCATAATTTATGCTCTTCTACTTGTCACGTACGTAATGTTGTCGCGGGGAATCTCCGCGCTTTGCACATGTGGCCGCATCGGTCGCCGTATTTTTTTCCTTCACTCGGTGGAGTTTTCTCAACTGCGCTTTGAAGTGCTTTTGATCGCGCCTTTCATATCACCCATATTTTCTTTCACTGCCATTATGAACGGCGTTCAGGATTCAACCTCTGCTGCGGCCTCGTCCCAGTCTGCGCAGAGGCAGGTGCGCGTGCAGCTCGTTAGCAAGCAAGAAGACATTGCGCTGCCTGAGAGCACCGGCCCCATTCTGGTTCCCACAGGTACGAATGCATTTTGGCAACTTACTGCTAGTCTGCTTTGTATATACTTGTGTGCTCACTGATTTTTGTAATATTCTGTAGGATTGCGGAGATATGCACTTTCTACCCTGGTGAATAATCTCTTGGGAAACGACAAGCCGGTGCCATTTGAGTTTTTGATCAATGGCGCATTCCTTCGGACTTCGATCGATGAATACTTGACGGCCAATGGCATATCTGCGGAAACCACTCTGGAAATTGAGTACATAAGAGCGTTGATTCCCCCGCTCCATATTGCCTCCTTCGAGCATGATGACTGGGTTGGCTCTGTGGATGTCCTCTCTGCGACCTCGCCTGCTACCTCTTGGGCTTCTGCGGTCGTCTCTCCAGGCCAGGAGAGAATCCTATCGGGAAGCTATGACGGATTGCTTCGTGTGTGGAATATGTCCTCCCAGATCGTCGCAACCTCACCGTCCCCGGCTGATGGAGGGCACGGTGCGTCCATCAAAGCCGCTAAGTTCATCTCGCCGAATTCGATTGCGTCGGCTGGCCTTGATCGCACCGTTCGACTCTGGAAGTACAATGAAAGCGATGATGGATTCTCAGGAAAGATCACTCCGCAGATTGAGCTCTACGGACACAAATCTGGTATCAACTCGTTGGCTGTGCATGCCCCCTCGAACCGTATTCTCTCCGCCTCGTCAGACCACAGCATTGGCTTCTGGTCGACAAAGAAGTCAGATGCCCCAGCTGCCCCCGAGAATCTAGTTCCATCTGCTGCGTCACGGAGCTCGAAGCGCAGAAAGGTGAGCTCGTCCGTCAGCATCCCGCAGCGTGGCCCGCTTGCGCTGTTGTCTTCCCACACTGCGCCAGTGTCAGCTGCCATGTTTGACACAAACGACTCGACTGTCGGCTATTCTACTTCGTGGGATCACTCTCTACGTACATGGGATCTGGTCACGGCCGCTTTAGTAGACACCAGATCGACATCCCATTCGTTGCTATCTCTCGAGCATCTCCCCGAGCACCACCTTCTTGCGACAGGAACTTCCGCTCGCCACATCACTCTCATCGATCCTCGTACATCAGCGACAACCATCTCCGCCATGACCCTCAGAGGTCACACCAATGCCGTGGTTTCGCTGTCCCGCGATCCCCACAGCAGCTACGGTCTCATCAGTGGTAGTCACGACGGTACATGTCGAATCTGGGATATCCGTGCTACGAAGACGGACAAGGACGGTGTTGTTGGTGAGAGCGTGTATTCGATTACTCGGAGAAGCTTGGAAGAGCAAGGTAAAGCGGATGCTAAGCGAGTAGGTGGAGAGGGAGTCAAGGTCTTCAGTGTGTGCTGGGACCGCTCGGTTGGCATTGTCAGCGCCGGTGAGGATAAGAGGATTCAGATCAACCGGGGTGAAGGCGTCTTGTCTTCCGCATAAGAGGAGTTGCACACATGGTTCTGGCGTTATAACTATAGGATGAAAAGTTTGGTTCTGAGTATTTGTATTAAAACAAGCCACTGTACGAGCTGATGTTTCCACTTGCAATATATCCTATAATTGCTTTAGAGAGAGGCAACATTGAATCACTACTAAGATTTCCTTGATTTCAATATTTCATTGTCTACATAAAATACATCCCCAGGATGGAGAAGGTCAAGCCAGAACACTAATTTACAAAAGCGAATTTATAACGCCATTCCATGCCCCAATTGAAACGAAGCCGCAGGACCACTGGGGTCAATAATAGAATCAATCATGTTAACCTCACAGTCTTCTCTCCATACGGTTGAGCTTGACAGCAGTTTTGATCTAGTGATTACGTTAGTATAAATCTTCTTTTGTGCAATACCCCACGACCACGTCCACCAGCGAAGTGCTTCAACATTCCCTAGTATCATATTGGGGGAAACTGGATATAGGAATAAACCAACCTGGCTCCTCGTCCGCTGTCCCCGAACGGGCAAGCCGAGCGCATGACGCCGACCACGGTAGGTTCCCGTCTCCTTCAAACGCTTGATGTTATCGAGGTACTGTCTGCGGAGATCGTTCTCAATCTTCATGTCGGACAAGGCGGCCGTGATGTCGAGGACCTGCTTGTTCGCCAAGTCGCCAACCTTGCATGTTGGGTGGATATGGAAGCGGGCAAGGAGACGGGTCGAGGTCAAGTTACCGATGCCGAAGAAGGACTCGAGCGATTTCTGATTTCAGTCAGACCAAGCGTTGAAGGTAAAATGGAAGTTCGGAGTTGCTTGCCTTGACGAGGTTTCGCTCGGGGAAGTTCACGCCCAAAATGAAAACCTGATTGCTTGTTAGCCGCCCATTGAGGGTATTCTCAGATCGAAATAACATTAACACATACCATCTTTACGGATTGGCTTGTTCAGTTCTCCAGGAAATGTGATATGGCCTAAACTGCCTATGTGCTGCGCTATTCTTCTATCATCCGCCGCAGTCTGGCTCAGTTCGGCGCGGAAGAAATTCAACCAGTAACAATGTTTCTCCGAAAGATTTTCAGTAATTTTCAGTTTGGCATACCATAAATACATTATTTCTTCCGCCTTTGCGGTGAGATGAAATGAAAATATCAATCTATAACTGCAAAGATACGCAAACTCTAATCCTTATCCGGTTATTGTGCTCTTGGCACCTCCGCAGTAATGCAAGCTGGCCTCCATTCGCTGAATGATTGCTCCTTGAATCTCCTGTGCTCTCAAGCAATCGTTTGAATTCTCCTACATTGGAGACATCCTGAGCAATCATGAACTTCAAGAACATTTTTCTATCTTTCTTCTTCGTCCTGGCGGTTGGACTTGCTCTTGTCCACGCCGAAGATGCTCAGCCCCGGGGCCCCAAGATCACCAGTAAGGTGTGTATAGTTATGATTTTCGGCGCTTACAACCAGTGTCGACTTCTTTCCAAATATGACATACTAATTGCATCTACACACAGGTGTTCTTTGATATAGAGCATGGAGACAAGCCTCTGGGCAGAGTCGTGCTTGGCTTGTATGGCAAGACTGTTCCTAAGGTACGTGATCGTCGCCATGCTATTATCTCTCGGAGCTCCTGTACTGATCATATTATTATTGCTTTTCTAGACCGCTGAGAACTTCCGGTATGATTTCAGGACTCGATCTCAGATGAAGCTTCTGCACCCTGCTGACATTGCTCGTTTCCAGCGCTCTCGCTACTGGTGAGAAGGGCTTTGGCTATGAAGGATCTACCTTCCACCGTGTCATTAAGGACTTCATGATCCAGGGTGGTGACTTCACTCGTGGCGATGGTCAGTAATATGAGGATCTTGGTTATATGTGTACAATTTCCCCGCCAAATGCTGACTGTTCATGCGAAAAGGTACCGGTGGAAAGTCGATCTACGGTGAGAAGTTCGCCGACGAAAACTTCAAGCTGAGGCATACGCGCAAGGGGCTCCTGAGCATGGCCAACGCCGGCAAGGACACCAACGGCTCCCAGTTCTTCATCACCACCGTTCCTACACCGTAAGTCTATGCCGATTTCGTCTAGCGATAACAGCCAGCTTATGATTGCGGGACAGTTGGCTTGATGGCCGCCATGTCGTCTTCGGTGAAGTGCTCGAGGGCTACGAGATCGTCGCTCAGATTGAGAACGTGCCCAAGGGCCGTTCTGACAGACCCGTGGAGACTGTCAAGATCGTCAAGAGTGGAGAGTTGGAGTCTGAGGACAAGGCTGGAGAAAAAGGTAGCAGCCACGAGGAGCTGTAGACCTGTTTCCTGAGGTCTCAGCCTGCTTCTCGATAAGACTGTGATGTGCTGATCGCTTGTAAAGAAACGAGCTCCGAAGAAGAGTCACAACCTTCAGCAATTGCTGTTATTCCTTCTCCAACCCCTTTGCCTATGACATCTGATAACGCTCCTTATATTTTCCCGAAATTCGCAGCGCTTGCCATTGTTGTCGGTCTCCTGGTTGTCCTGGTCCGACGCAGCTTCAAGGGAGAACAAGAGAAGGCTGAAAGAAGTATTGTTTGATAGAAATTGTACTCATCCAAATACGTGGAAAAATTTGCTCAGTAGAATCCACCCTCGGCTGCAGCCCGTACGCTACGACTTTCCTTGCAGTGCACGGAGTACATGCCGTTTTCATGTGCCACATGACGAGCCGACGCATAACCCATGCCTTAATTAGCCGTGGCAAGCGCGCCAGGACCAGATGCTGTGAGATCATCTTCCAGTGGCAAGTAATAGAAAGGCTTGGCCTCCAGTTGGGCCAACGATGTACTTTTGTAATAAGCTCCACTGGCAGGCAGCGGCAAGGATGCGCCCACTATCTAGCAAGTACTCCTGCCACCCCTACTTTGTTAGTCAGTGCTATGATAGGCACCGTCCAGTGGGAAAGTTTTACGGCGATAAGATTTACTCGTTGCCTACCATACTTCACCGACCCCACGCTGACGATTTGAGTGGGAGACCATTCCACCTGCGGAGTAAGGTTATTTTTTCTCAAGAGTAACACTATTCCACCTTAGCAGTCAAAATATTGGAACTTTGTGTTTACTACTGTCTAGCCTGGTTTTGGCATGGCCGTGATAAACTATGGACTTCATAATCAAACTTCAATTCTTAAAATCGTTCAGCTATCCGGGTGTAAGCAAGTAATAGACGTGTAACTTGTTATATGCAGCAGTTGGGCATGGACAGCAAGAACTGCAACGGCAGTATCATCATACGAATGCACAATGATGCTCCAATCACGTCAATTTTGAAGTGAGAGTGTCCACATTTCGGCGATGTAAGCCTAGTATGAGACGATCATACTTGTATGCCGTGGTCAAAAGTGAGAGGAATAAAATTCCACACACGTTGCTCTGTCAGAGTTTTGATTACCGGGGGGTCAGTCAATATGCCAAGGCGCAGAAGCTGATCAGGTCCCATAATACAGTGGCTGCGTTGACACTGTAAAAATTGAAGATGACGGAGGCGAAGTATACATAGTAGCCATGGCCACCAGGCTGCCAAGTAAGGATGCGCTTGGCTTGAGAATGCACTTTACACGTGACCGTGACAGTATCTACGGGGGGGGCGAGCCTGAGGCAAAAAGCAGAGTTTTTTTGGACCTCGTCAGATTGGCTCAAACCGGATCAACTGGTGAACAGGTCGCTCCTACTAGTACCCTAGATAGTATAGAATGTGGGATTTCGGCCAACAACCCTAGAATCTTGCAACTGGTCAAATTTTCCAAAAAATGGATTGTGGTCCGTAGTCGAAATGGACAGCAATTCAATGCGGGAAATCCCTATATCAGAGTTTTAAGCCCATTTTTTCCCCATGAACTGTTTTTGAACTGGTTGACCTCGTAGTAGTGGACAAGCAGAGAGACAGCAGGAGAACACAGTACTAGGAGTAGCACTCCCAGCAAGTGACGGAGGTACAACAGAGCCAAAATAGACAGGGCCCAGCCCATCATCATCTGGCAACACAGCCAGAACCACGCCGCCACTCTGTTTCGTTTAGCCTTTTTAGAATTTTCTTTGGATTTTTCCCATTCCCCCTTCCTGTTTGGTGCAATGGCCGTTTGGCCTGCGCTGGCTGGCTTGCCCTCCTGCTGCTGCTTCCCTTCGCTTCTTTTTTACACGCTGAACCTTTTTTTCTCACCCGGACCGTCCCCAATAATCCCATCGCCGGCTGCCAATAAGCAAGCAAAACCTTCCCAGTGCGCAGGCCTGCCAACCACTGCCAGTGCATTATTCCCTTAGTTTCGTAGTCATCGTCTTTGCCTCTCCTCCCCGTTCTCCGTCCCACAAACCTTCTTCCTCTTCCCTACTTCTTTTCTTCCATCCCCTCTAAACCTCCCCTCCTAATCCAGTCTGGTTTCAATTTTTTTTTTCTCCAATATCTCCACATCATATCCTATTCTCTTCCCCTTCCCCCCTTTTTTTCTTCTCTTTTTCTACACCGTAATAGAGGATTAGATCTGGGAGATCGTCTTGTTCTTCGTTTAGTATTTCTCCCCAAGGTCTTTCTTTACCCTGTTCCTCTTTCTCGCACTGTGTTACTCTTATTGATCCCCTGTGTATTGCCACTCGATAGAGACGCGGGGACTTTTCACTTCACTTCTTCTTGATCTTCTTTCCTTTTGTCCTGTACAGAAGAAAAGAAATTTCCAGTGTTCGCCCGCAAGGACAACATCCGCTGAAAAAACGCTTTGTTCAAATACCACCATAGTACGTTTTTTTCTTGTGCCGGCTTCTGCAACGACATCCCAACGCGTGTTGCTCATCTGTCATCTGTGTCCACAGTCCGAAATACCGCAAATATGGCCGACAGCTTGAAGATGGGAAACCTTTCCCTCAACGAGTCTCAGCACGCTCCTGCCCCTGCCCCCTCCACGGGTCGCGCCGCTTACATCCCTCCCCATCTTCGCGGACGCCAGATGGGTGGAAACATGGACGGTGCTGCCGCCGCTGCCCCTCCCCCCGGTCCCGCCGCTGGCCCTGGCAACTCCTGGGGTGGTCCTAGGTATGTGATATTTAATTACCGCGTGTCCCATTTCACGTTGTGTGTAGTGACTAACTGGCATGATTCTGCAGAGGCGGCCCTCGTGGTGGCCAGTGGGCCAACGCCAACGCCCCTGATTTCAGCCCTCGCGGTCCCAATGGTAACACTAGCTGGAGCCCTCACGAAGCTCGCGGGCCCTTTAATCCAAATGCTTACGGACACCCAGGTCACGGAGGTTCTTATGGAAGTGGAGGTGGTTCTGCCCGAGGCTCTGGAGATGGCCAGTGGCGTGACGGCAAGCACATTCCCGGTCCTGCCAATCCCCGTCTCGAACGCGAACTGTTCGGTCTTCCCAACGATCCCACCAAGCAAAACACTGGCATCAACTTTGCCAACTACGACGACATCCCCGTGGAGGCCTCTGGTCACGATGTCCCGGAGCCGGTCAACGCCTTCACCAACCCGCCCCTGGATGACCACCTGATCGAGAACATCAAGCTCGCCCACTACCAGACTCCCACTCCCGTCCAGAAGTATTCCATCCCCATCGTCATGAACGGCCGCGACTTGATGGCCTGCGCCCAGACTGGTTCCGGAAAGACTGGTGGTTTCCTCTTCCCTATTTTGTCTCAGGCTTATCAGAACGGTCCTTCCGCTGCTCCTGCCCAGGCCGGCGGCCAATTTGGCTACGGACGTCAACGCAAGGCGTACCCGACCTCCCTCATTCTCGCCCCCACCCGTGAGCTTGTTTCCCAGATTTTCGATGAGGCCCGCAAGTTCGCCTACCGCTCTTGGGTCCGCCCTTGTGTTGTGTACGGTGGTGCCGATATCGGCTCCCAGCTCCGCCAGATCGAGCGCGGATGTGATCTTCTGGTTGCTACTCCTGGTCGTCTTGTCGATCTTATCGAGCGTGGCCGCATCTCTCTGGTCAACATCAAGTACCTGATTCTCGATGAGGCCGATCGCATGTTGGACATGGGTTTCGAGCCCCAGATTCGCCGCATTGTGGAAGGCGAGGATATGCCCCACGTGAACGACCGCCAGACGCTGATGTTTTCGGCCACCTTCCCCCGTGACATCCAGATGCTGGCTCGCGACTTCTTGAAGGACTACGTCTTCCTGTCCGTCGGCCGTGTCGGTTCTACCTCTGAGAACATCACCCAGAAGGTTGAATACGTTGAGGACCACGACAAGCGCTCCGTCCTCTTGGATATCCTCCACACGCACGGCACTAGCGGTCTGACCCTCATCTTCGTCGAAACCAAGCGTATGGCCGACTCCCTGTCCGACTTCCTTCTCAACCAGCGTTTCCCCGCCACCGCTATTCACGGTGATCGTACCCAGCGTGAGCGTGAGCGTGCTTTGGAAATGTTCCGCTCTGGCCGTTGCCCTATCCTTGTTGCCACTGCTGTTGCTGCTCGTGGTCTCGATATCCCCAATGTTACCCACGTCATCAACTACGACTTGCCCACCGACATCGATGACTATGTTCACCGTATCGGTCGTACTGGTCGTGCCGGTAACACTGGTATCGCCACTGCTTTCTTCAACCGTGGTAACCGGGGTGTTGTCCGCGACCTGATTGATCTTCTGAAGGAGGCTCATCAGGAGGTCCCCTCCTTCCTCGAGAGCATTGCTCGTGAGGGCAGCGGCTATGGTGGTCGTGGCGGCCGTGGTGGCCGTGGTCGTGGCGCCAACGCTACCCGTGACATGCGTCGCATGGGCGGTGGTATGGGCGGTCCTCCCTCCTTTGGTGGCAGCAGCTACGGTGCACCTGGCGGTAGCTATGGTGGTGGTGGTGGCGGCGGCGGCAGCAGCTATGGCGCTCCTCCCTCCTATGGAGGCGGTGGTGGCTATGGCGGCGGCGGCAGCTACGGTGGTGGTTACGGCAACCCGTCCGGCCCTACTGGACCTTCTTCCTGGTGGTAAATCACCCGCTAGGGGAAGTTGTGGTCTCTGACGAGGCCGTCGGGTCTGATTGGCTTCTTTCTCTTCATTTGCCTCTCCTTTGACGGATACGATCAGAACGAGTCCTGAGTTCTCCTTCTCTTTCCTCTCATCCCTATCTTTTCTCTCTCAGGGTCGGCTTTGTCATGACTGCCACGACATTATCTTAGATGCGTTCTAAGAATTTGTTTTTTTGCTTTTCTTTTCTTTTTCGTTATTCTCCTATGTGCAGGTGTTTTTTTTTTTTTCTGCTGCTGAGCATTTTATCAATGTCGCCTATTTTATCGTTTTGTTTTAGACATGGGTTTCGATGTGGTCCGATCTCCTTATCTCGCTGCTCGTGGTTATACCCGGTTATAATCGAGAGCATTCGGGTCGGCATTGCATGGATATCATAGAATGCGTTGTCTTTCTCCTGCGACCGCTTCATCAGATACCCTTTTTGTTCTCAGGCGGCCATACGGAGATCCGCTTGAACGACGCGTGCCGAGCGGGGGTGCCGGCTTTTCGTGTTCAGAAAAGTGCTTTTATGATTTTTCCCTGCTTGGTGCCAGGCAGCTGCATCGACCGTGTCTCGCGAATAGATTTCTTACAGTTTCGGTTTCTCATGGCGGGGTTTCTCTTATTCCGTTTTCTTTTTCCATCAGTGTTGTTGTTTCGTGCTTTGCTTGAGATTATGCTTTACTACTCCAAGATGTGTTAAGCATTGGCACCGGAGTTGGAGAGACATCAAGGTCTGTGTGGCTGTGACGTCTTTCGGCGAGCATTGATCTTTTTGCACGACTTCAAGGAATGATGGGTCACAAAAATGGGAATACGGGTGATAGAGATAAGATTCTTCTTTGCATTGTGTATGGCGTTGGCTCGAGCTGCTGTGTCCACAAAATTATTCTCTGCACTGGGGTCCGTGGAGGCTGACATCGAATGGGATCTTCTTTTTCTGGTTCATATCTCGGATCCGTGGAGGATGGGAAGCTGCTTTGCTGGCGCTATTTGTGGGTATCATCATATCTTGTCAGTAGCAGTTTGGGCTCAACGGGAAATGCCGAAGACGGCCTTGCTTACAGAGACCGCGTGTCTCAGAAATAAGGGAGCTAGTTATTCTCTGTTCAAGTAAAAAAAGAAGTCTGAAGCTTGTTTATTATGTGTAACTCATTGTAACTGAAATGATCATGTCCACTTTGTGGTTGCATTAAATCCCTCGGTATCTTAGATCAATTGTACGTAGGAACACATCACTCAACATGTAAAGGGTTACCTGACTTCACTACATGCCAGAATAATTCTCTTCGTATGCTTTCAAACCCATTTTGGAAAGGTGAAAGATATGTCTTGTTCAATGTCTAATAGTGAATGGGGATGGAATGATGGTCGTGGTGAGGCAGTGCTATGTCTTCACTGTAAGCCTATATTGACGGACTCGATGTCAAATGAAGTGAAGCGTTAGAAGCTTTTTAGCATTCTCTTGTCAGAAAGGGAATGCCTGGGTAAAGTAATGAAATCTGACAGACTGCTCATGGGAATAAATGGTCGGGTTCCAAGGGTGGTAAATAGTTAACTAAACTATACATGCTACCTTAGTCACTCCCGCGCACGATCGGAGATCAAGCCAAGGGAGAAAGAAGAAAGTCACGGATCGTCCAGGATCACGTTCCCTGCCCACCTCCCAATTTCTTCCCTCTCTCTCAATCTCCCATCCGCGTCAATCTTCGCCAGCTCTCTCATCTCATCATCCCCATACTTTCTATCATCCGCTGGGCGACCACTCTTCCACTCGTTCATCCATTGCGTCGTCCTTGAGCTAACTATCCCATCAATCGCTGTCCCCCTGCGCGGGTAACCGCTCTCAGGACACGCCGAGAACGGATCCTTACGTCGCAGTCTGGGAGGTTTCATATTACTCCATCTATACGAAGACCATTGTTCCGTGAAAACACGCGACTTCCGAAATGGCTGAGGTTGAGAGCACCGCCGCGGACGAGTCGTTTGCGCAATCCGAGCCGCAAGATGAGCAGCAAACTCACAACATGACCGTTGGTATTAGGCGTCAGGCGAACGGCACTATCGGGTCTGTCTACTCCGGGAACAAGATTCGACATCTCAAGAAGGAAGATGGCATTCCGTTATGGCGCAAGGACATTCAGTATCAGTTCCTCAAGCTCGTCTTTGAAGACCAGACCAAGGTCTTTACTCGATGGCCAGATGGAGAGAAGAACCTGGATTTCGCGGACATCTATATCGATGCTATGGCTAGGAGTAGCAAGACGAGCAAGATCTTGAAAGACAAACTTCAAAACGATAAACAAGCAGCTATCAGCATGGCTATGGTTTGCTTACTGGTGAACTTCGGAAGGATGAATACCACTCTCAACTGTACGTCCTCCTTTCGCTTTTAACTTACAGATATTTTTTTTTCTGCTACTCTTCATCATTTACTGATACGGACCAGTCTTCCCTGAGATGCGTGCTCAACTGCGGACCTATCACTCCATTCCTTCGCTACAAGCCCACCAAGACCCGAACGCCTACAAGCAGCTCCAAGACGCTCCTCGTCTCAAATCCATTCTCAAAGGTGCCTCAGAAGACGTCGACCAGCCAAATACTCTAGAAAGAATCAAGCGCCATGCAATTCCTCGCACGAACCCGGTAAACCTCATTTTCGTCCTGGCACAATACGCGCCCAAGGTATCTGAAATGCATTTCTTCCCTCCACGCGACTTCTTCGACCTCGTTATGCGGGGCACATTGAGCAGTAAGAGTCGTGCAAAGGCATTTCTGTGGTTGATGTGGTGGTACCTGGAAAGTGATTTCAGCGCCGAAGCCGCACGCAACAACCCGTTTGGACCCGGCCTGGACGGTGAAGGAACCGGGGGCTTGCCTATCAAGGTGCCTCAATTTGAAAGCCTTACCGAGGAGCAAGCAAATGAGGAGAATGTTGATACACAGTCTGAGATTGAATATGGAGAGGCTAAGCGCCTGGAACGCAAACGTCAGTTTCACAGGCCTTCTTTGAGTTCCATTCGCGCAATAATTGACACCATCCGCAGGTATTTTGGAGGAAGATGAGCCAATCCCTAGAGTGACCAAACGCTCTAAGAAAGGTACAGTCCCCAGACCGACGTATCAGAACCTAATATGACTGACATCTCGTGGTAGGTTTGCCAGACTTCGGCTACGAGGAAGACGGCTCGGGAGATGTTTCGGGTAAGTTTGTCCAACAAAAAACCAAAGCCTCCCAGTTTACTGACGTGATTATTAAGGTCGAGGCGATGGCCGTGGCTCTACTATGTCAACTCCCTTACACCCCTCTTCCAAGCGCTATCCGCAGGATGATGAGGATGATTATCAAACCCCTGGACAGTCTGCCAGGTCTCGGTACAAGAGGCCTAAGCGGGAATCTTCCCTCAACCGTTCTGTTGGTCAGCAGCGTCTCATCTTAAGAACCAAGATGGAAAACACACCTGACGCTGCTTCTCCAGCTCCTCCAGGCTCTGGCCATCCCATTCTGAACCGGTTCGTCGCAGAACCCACCTTACCTCAGCAGTCATCTTCTCGCCGTCCCCGGCCTCTTACACAGCACCAGCTGGCTGTTGAGCAGAATCGGCGACAGCGAATTGAATATCTTCTAGCCAAGCGGAAGAATGAAGCATATCGTGTCTTGCGTGCGAATCGAGAGAGCGAGCTCCCGCTTGTCCGTCACGGTCGTTTACTATCAACCCTGCCTGATGATTATGATACGGACGATGAGGAGAAGTCATGGGGCAAAGGCGGGCTTATTCCAAAGCCGGATGAAGAGGAAGACTTTGGTGAATGCGCCAGCTACTACTTGTCTGTCATTCGCAAGGCTGCCAGGCGCTTGGACCGATGGGATTATGACGATGCCAACGGCCCGAAGCGTGACCGCAAGAAGGAAAGGGAACAACGTCAGAAAGCAAGAGAAATCAGATTGGCTTTGGAAAACTCCTCAGATCTTGCTGGGCGCGTCCCGTCTTCAGCCCGTAGCAGAGCCCGCGCTGCGCGCAATGCTAAACGCAAGCTTGCTGGCCCAGCGTCTGGTGCCTCAGCTACAGAGGTCAAGGAGCAAGGCGCATCAACATCACGTTCTAAAGCAAACAGGAGCCGTGTTCAACGTGATGCCGGAGATGGTGAGACGACCAACCCTGATGTCACTAAGGATGGTCTCGAAGTGCCATCCCGAGACCGGGAACTCTCCCCGATGCCTGGATCGGCCCAGATGGGCGATGAAGACGGAGACATTGAGGGCGAGGAAGGACTTGACGATATTGACCGTGAGATTCTAGGAGAAGGAAGTGGAGAGGAAGATGTCCGTACGACACGCAAAGCTCGTACATCTCACCCAGCCGAACTTGGCTATGAGGACAGCTTTATCGGCGACGGAGGTGATCCAGACGAGGAGGGTGAGGCGCTCTCATCCGATGAGAACGACGAAGAAGCCGACGACGACGATCTCGATGAGGGAGAAGGAGAAGCCGATGGGGATGATAACTCCTCAACTATGGAAGGCGGAAACGGATATGCTGCTAGTGAGACCTCTTCGGTTGCTGGAGATGCTGCCGAGCCAGCAACTGAAGCTGGCGGCGAGACAGCAGAACGCGAAGATATGAAAGATGAGGTTATGGAAGATAAATAAGCCATATTCCTGTGGGCTACATAGCAATTGCCATGTGGCTTGTTGGTTGGCATTATGGTTTGATTGCTCCTTCAACTTCATCCATCTCTTATGTCTGTCCTTTATATGACTAATTTGCTGTATCTAATTTGGCAACGCGTTTTTGATGTGTCCTTCAGTTCTTGTATTCTGTTCCCTCCTTTTTCCTTTTTTTCTTTTGCACTCATTCAACCCACGGGGATTAAGACTAGCTTGATACAATACAATATGTTACTACTATTAGCTCGGAAACTGCTCGCCTTCGATGGTCTTGGGCTTTCCATCCATGCTGAATGTCTGTCTCAATCACTTGTTCAATCAGAGGGCTACAATATGCAGAATCATCCTAGCAACCGGCATCACAACGGAAATGCAAGCGCCGCACCTATAAGGAGCCTTTCTGGTAGCTGGAAGCTACTAGCAACACATCCTACGTTCTGAATCGTACGGCTAGTGATTCGGGTCCTAACCTCCGTATCCTAGGCATCTAATGTGTGTGCCTCTGCTTCAGTCGTCGGACCCCCAAAACATGTTCCCTATGGTCCTTTCGAAGTATATATCGGAAGTGGTATGGTATTAAAACGCTCTGTACGTCCGGCTCATTTCGAACAGATCACCTAGGGTGAAGTGGCAGAGCATGATTACTCCTATTACAGCAAGAGACGGGTCTTTTCAGTACCATGATTACATTGCAATGAACTGATAGCCACGGTGCTAAGTGCTAACTTAAGCTGAATCATGTCTCTAATTTCAGATGGCCTCGTGGGTAATATACAATAGCATGATGACCGCACATTTTTATCCTGACAGTACATCATGGTTAGTATTGGTAAAAAGGGTAGTCAGCAGTGTCACTAACACTGATACTGACATTCACTGTCCGCTGATTGGAATGTGATCTTGCGTCTAGATGTTAGTGGCCAAGCTCAGCCCAGTATGATATCGTGCGGGGTGTACATGTTGAGCTGCATAAATAGCGGGGACGGTCGTATTGGAACAAGTATTGTCCGCACAAAACAGTCCCGTATGGCGTCACTACTATGATAAACATGTACAAGGGGAAATATCATTGGAGATATGATTTCCAACGCAGGCTGGAAGTACGGTGACACACTTGGTGTAATAGTCGGTGCACGAGCTCGAGAAGAAGAGGAAATCGTGACGTGGAAGCTGCTCTTTAGTTGGGTGAGTTGACGTCCCTGAGACAGGGATTAGCAACCATGGCATCTTTGATTTTCTCCGACTCGATCTCCTCCCGAATTATTCATGTGCTAGAGAAGCAAGGGCGTCGAGGGACTTCCGAACTGTGAGGTTGAGTCAGGGTCAGACAGTAACTAAACTGGTATGCTAGGCCACATCTCTAGACCATGCTAGTCATACACACAATGAGTTAAGCCATGTTCTCAGATAAAAGTGTGCAGTAGACATTTGAGTATGACACTGACTCTTCATGTCATGACGATTTGGTTGGGACTGGACTGTTTTGGCGGGTTCCTTTTGTGGCGGCAGCTGGAGGTGGTGGAGCTAAGACAGTTTTGCATGTGATCGCAGGATGAGCTGCTCATTACGGAGTATGGCTTCCCCCAACATTCCTTCGGCCTCTTTTGCATCCTCACTGCTTCCGATTGTCCAGGCTTTTCTGGCTTTGCAACACTTCGCATTATTAATTATTCGTACTTCCAAGGTCTCACATCATCCATTTCTAGCTTCTCACAAATATTATTCGACAGCAATTGCTGTTCATTCCCCCCGCTGTTCTCAATTCCTTTTCCCCTCAGCGTGCTCTCTGCCGATCCGCCGCAAATCTTGCACCCCCAGTTGCTGCCAGTAGTGCTGCTCCACTAGGCCGCTGGCACGAACAGATCTGCCTCCAGCCTCCCCTTTACTATTATTTGGCTGTCTGTGTGCTTGCAGTTCCGGCACGCTCTGGCCTTTCCCTTCTCCTCTCGTCTCTCCCCCCACCTCGGGCACGCTCCTTTCACGCAGACAGGACAATTGTTCGAAAGGAGTCGACCTGCCGATATTTAACCGCGGGTGGACTGACGGCTGATCTTGCTGGAGCCGGTGGATCACGATATCTGGTTACAGTGTCGACTTGAAGATTTCCCGCGCCTGAGCCAAATAACCACTGCCTCCTTCACGTCTCTCGCTCTGTCTTCTATAGCTTCCCTCTCCCCCTAGCCCCCTGGATATCTGGAATCAACGTCCCGCCTGCCATGTCTGACGAGCCTACGATCCTTCGCCCGCGTCCGCGACGTGTGTTCGATCTCACGCCTGAAGAGCCCTCTACCCCAGTCGAACCCGCCAACCCAGACCTGCTCGTCCCTAAAGATGCCGGCTCTACCAGCGTCAGCCGCAATGCTTCGATCATGAACTTGACCTCGTCGACGCTGTACGGTATTTACTCTCCTACCGCATTCGACAGTTCTCGTGACGACTCGAGTCCCTGGGGCACGGAAGCCCATACGCCTCAATCAGGAAGCCCGAGGATCCAGTCTGAAGCTCCAGCACCAGGGAAACTTCGGCGGACACGATCACGGCTTAGCCACGGCCTGTTTCGAGGCGTCATCCTTCCGCAAGCGCTGAAGAGCGCTTTCCTCTTGGGCTTTGGTGTTGTTTATGGAGTCATTACAATTCACCTGCATGAAAACCATTGGATTACCCCGGTGAAGTTGGAGAATACACATTACTACGGATCATGGCAGTATCTTGCTTTCTGGGGTGTGGCCGGCGCCGTTTTGGGCAATATTCTTCCTTGGTTCGACCAGTTCTCAGATGAAATCATTGGCAGCCCTAAGCAGGCAAAAGGGTCAAGCGACCCCGAGACTGCAGACCGTACTCTCTCATGGGTTTCAGTGGTTCGCAGCGTTGGCGCGTTTGTGGGAATTGCATTTGCCATGGTAAGCAAAATTCTAGCAACCAGCGTTCGTCGGTTCGATACTAATCTGGCTTTGTATCTTACAGCGCCGACTTCCCTGGGAATCTACAACTCAAGCGTCACTTACCCTCGCGCTCGTGAACCCCGTACTCTGGTACCTCATCGACCGCACACGGACCGGCTTCGTCTTATCGACCGTTGTTGGATTGGCCGGCATGGGAATAATATTGGGACTCAAGCCTGACTTAATTCCGTCTGCAGAGACTTCGGCTTTTGCAGCAAGCAAATTCGATGTCACCGGATGGGGATATGGGCTGGCTGTTGAGATGTCACAGGAAAGCATAGCAGTAAGGACTTGGGTTGCCAGCGTTCTTTTCTGCGCATGTGTATGCTTTGGAAACATTGGCCGGCAGCTTGCCATTGGAGTCCAGCGCGAGTCGCTCAAGTGAAGCGAGAACAGGATCGTACCCTTTTCATCCCATCATTCAGTTAACACGGGGCATTTTGTATACCCTAGCACTCCACTTCTTATAATGCAGAAATCCTCCTTCCTTTGGCCTTGTGCAGTTTCTCAGAGACAAGTCTGTTACTAGATAGATGATCCGTTAGGCCAGAAGCCATGGCGACGAGATTATGGAAATGACTACGAACTCCGAATACACGAAGTGACAATAATATTAGTTAGATAGTTAAGCAGAGATTGTAGAATCAATCATTGCAGTCCCTTCCACCGAACCTAAGTTCAAGTCAGACACTGCACCCAAGATCGATACTCTGCCAGAGGCAGTTTCTCTCCATTCTGTATGACGATTTCCGTACTTCATCGGCTATACAGACCCAGTAGGGAAAGATATCCTCGCAGGAACGCTTTTTGAAGAATGTTGATTTTGCGTTGTTCATGTGGAAGAAAAGAAAAAAGAAAATCAAAGCGAAGCGGCCGAGCGAAACTTTTGTAGTGGAATGTTTGTGGCCTGTGCGCGGGTCATGTGACAGCACGTGATTAGTTTTATTCTCGAGATAACAACTGACTAATCATAGCATGCATAAATAGCCGATGATAAAACTAAGCCGAAAAGGGCAAGCACCTGTGGCGTCCCTTCCACGGGTTTGGAGCTAACTACGACAGATGGCGGTTAGTAATCGATAGGATCTTGGTCACCCGCCAGGTCCGAAAGCGGCGAAGGACCCCGCGGCGGGACATCGAGGAGAAACTGAGGGAACTTCAATCGAGACTGCCTTGGATCAGTCGCGAAGGTAAAGTTATATTATCTCTGCCATTGTTCTACCAACGGTCTGGACGGTAATATAACAAATCTGGAGGCCATTATATTCCCTCAATTTCCTCCAATTTTCCAGGTACGTACCCTACGAGGTCATCGCAATGTTCTTGATGTTGCTCTTGCTCTGTGTGCGGAGCTCCCAGTTGATCGTCCCGGAGGGGCTGTGGGGGGCCCTTTTTATTCGACCTGAACAATTTTTCCCTCTTCATCATTCCTGACTCTGTGCTTCTCTGCTCTAGTGACCTCTTCACTGTCAGTATCTCAGGATGTCTCAACAAAAGTCAGGTAGGTCAATTGATATTTCTTGTCCACCGTCTTCCATTTATTTTCTTGATAGGGTACTTTTTGAGACCTGTCAAGTAGTGGACTTGGTCCGATACCTGTCCCCACAATTTGGCATTTCTGTTACTTGCGAGAATTCAGAGTATCTGGGGCTAATTGCATTCTTCATCATCCGTCTACAGCCATCCTTTCCGTATACGACAAGACTGGACTGCTTGACCTGGCCAAGGGCCTCGTCAAGCACAACGTCCGGTTGCTCGCCTCTGGTGGTACCGCGAGATTGATCCGGGAGGCGGGATTCCCCGTTGAGTGAGTCACCATATTGTTATGGTCATGACTGGGTCTCTCAAGACCTCAAAACTGATGGTCGATCAGAGATGTCTCCGCCATCACCCATGCCCCGGAGATGCTCGGTGGCCGTGTCAAGACTCTTCACCCCGCTGTCCACGGTGGTATCCTTGCCCGTGATATCGAGTCTGACGAGAAGGATCTGGCCGACCAGAACATTGCCAAGGTGGACTTCGTGGTCTGCAACCTGTACCCCTTCAAGGAGACCGTCAACAAGGTGAACGTTACCATTGAGGAAGCTGTTGAGGAGATCGACATTGGCGGAGTCACCCTCCTCCGTGCTGCTGCCAAGAACCACTCCCGTGTTACCATCCTCTCGGACCCCCAGGACTACCCTGAATTCCTCAAGGAGCTGGAAGCCGGTGAGATCACCGACGCTAGCCGTAAGTCCTACGCTCTTAAGGCCTTTGAGCACACCGCCGACTACGACACTGCTATCTCCGGTTTCTTCCGCAAGCAGTATGCAGGCAACGGCGAGCAGTACATGGCTCTCCGCTACGGCACGAACCCCCACCAGAAGCCGGCTTCTGCCTTCATGGCCCAAGGCAAGCTTCCTTTCAAGGCCCTGAACGGAGCCCCTGGCTACGTGAACCTGCTCGATGCTCTCAACGCTTGGGCTCTCGTTAAGGAACTCAAGCAGGCCCTTGGCCTGCCGGCTGCGGCCAGCTTCAAGCACGTGTCCCCGGCCGGTGCTGCCGTCGGCGTGCCCTTGACCGAGAAGGAGCGTAAGGTCTACATGGTCGATGACATTGCTGGCATCGAGTCTTCCGGCCTGGCTCAGGCCTACGCTCGTGCCCGTGGTGCCGACCGTATGTCCAGCTTCGGTGACATTCTCGCCCTCAGCGACGTCGTTGACGTTCCCACTGCTAAGATCGTCTCCCGCGAGGTCTCCGACGGTGTCATCGCCGCCGGCTACACTCCTGAGGCCCTGCAGATCCTTTCTAAGAAGAAGGGTGGCAAGTACCTTGTCCTTCAGATGGACGAGAACTATGTGCCTGCTGCGGAGGAGACCCGTACTCTGTACGGTGTTCAGCTCACCCAGCACCGCAACGACATTGTGATCAGCCCCCAGAAGACCTTCAACACCGTCATCACCCCCAAGGACCTGAAGAGTCTTCCTGAAAGTGCTCTGCGCGACCTTACCGTGGCAACCATCGCCCTCAAGTACACTCAGTCGAACTCTGTGTGCTACGCTCTGAATGGCCAGGTTATCGGCCTTGGTGCTGGTCAGCAGAGCCGTATCCACTGCACCCGTCTGGCTGGTGACAAGGCAGACAACTGGTGGATGCGCTTCCACGACCGTGTGCTCAACATCAAGTGGAAGCAGGGCACCAAGCGCCCCGACAAGAGCAACGCTATCGACCTCCTCTGCTCCGGACAGACCCCTCGCACCGAGGCTGAGAAGGCCGAGTACGAGCGTGTCTTCGAGGAAGTCCCCGCTCCCTTCACCCAGGAAGAGCGCGACGCTTGGCTCCAGAACTTGGGCGAGGTTGCTGTCTCCTCGGATGCTTTCGTAAGTCTGCATTTCAATACCATGGGTGATGCTTACTGACCTCAATGACACAGTTCCCCTTCATTGACAACGTCTTCCGTGCTGCCCGCTCCGGTGTCAAGTACATCGCCGCCCCCAGCGGTAGCCAGAACGATAGTGCCGTCTTCGAGACTTCGGAGAAGCTTGGCATTGTGTTCGTCGAGCAGGGCACTCGCTTGTTCCACCACTAAGCGATGTATTATCCTGCTTCATGTCCAGGGTTTATGTTAAAGCTAGCTGCATGATAACGCTTGTGTCTTCTTCATGAATTTTTATACCTACGTTTTTTACCAGGGGAGATAAGCCTGTAGTAGCGATATTCCAATCAAAAGTGACTTCAAGTGACTTAACTTGACGGGTGCGGATCGGAAAGCCTAGACTTCAAGGTGAAACGGAAAGGATGCCGCAAAATATCATAGCGTCTGTAATACTTCGGCTCGCTAGCATTAGGTTTAATCTACAGTTGGTATCGTGGTGTAAAAGTGATCCGAACAGTTTACCCACCGGTTACACCATAAAGGCCGATACATGGTATTACATATTTCCGTTCATGGATATCATGCCTAAAAAGATTCCAGAATGTTTATTAGCCCATCGACTTTGATGTTCTGGAACAGCGGATTACTGATAATAGCAACAATGAAGTGACGCGTCATTGCATATCTAGCTAGGTAGCGAATGCAAATCATGCATACTGCAGGATGAATCGGGCTAAGTATGTAACTCTGATTTCGTGTCTCATATTGAGTACAAAATGTCATAAACCACTTAGCATAGTAATGGACTCCTTGCCTGCTAGGATGTGCCGATGTAGGTACCCGACTCATTCAGTCCATGTTCAGGGTCGGTCTCCTTGCTTCATCGGGTTTTTACTCACGTACTGGGTAGCATGTGGTGGCTGTTGCTAGTTTAGGGCCAATATTAGTGGTGTAGAGTTTATTCTGACTGCTCGCTTCATCGGTTATGATGGGACATAGGTTATTGAAAAGTTTTGCGTAATTGGTAGAAGTGAAGTAAATCGAACTGACAGTGTACGACGTTTATATATTTTGATCGAAATGTGGTAGATTGGCGGGCCGTAAGTTCAATTGGCTGAGATAACATTACACCAACAATGAATTGAGAGACTAATTCTATAATATACTCTTGATCAAGCTCATACAGTCATCTAGAGAGGATAGAAGTCCTGGCGTATGTCTTAGGCACCCTGTAGAAGTGAAATACTAAGTGCCCGGTGTCGCTATACTGTCTGACGTCATAGTGTTGATGTCGGAGGATCCGGAGGTTGAGAATACGCGGTACGTACCGCTAACATACCAACAAAGTGATTATGCCAAATGACTCTCAGCCTACATGAATCCGCCTGAAAGATTCCATCCATCAGTTGAATTGATCTTAATTATATCAGTTTTGCAGGTGATTAGTCATATTATGGTTCTGTAATGTAAGGACATTTATTGATTTTAAATAGGCCCTTTATCCTTTGGGCGAATCATCTGTTTGGAACAGCTACAATTGAAGTCAAACCAGAGCCGAGAGAAGCCTACAGACAAGCGGGGCATGGTCAAGATTGTTCACAAAGAGTTCAATCCCTGGCCCGATGACCTAATCCAGGAATCCCATCACTCTGGACCAAGCTGGAAAGTGATTGAGTAGACAGGCCTATCGATGAAGCCTGTAAAAAGTCAGAAATGGTGAGAGATTGTACGTGCGGGAGAATAGACTTGGCTGTGGCTTTCACTGTCGGGTAACGCCGATTTCAATATCTTTGACCTGGTTGATGCCGTGAATGATATGATGAATATTAGTCCAGGAAGTGATTGGTCAGGAAGGACTAACACCAGTAGCGGTTCTCTATACGGAACGCCCCTTGTCTAGAACAGCAGAAAGGTAGAGCCATGTGAAACTGATATCCACCTCATTGTATGTATGCAGCTCGTACCAAATTCGAGCGAGATAGCCTACTGAGTTAATTTTCAGATATCTCAATTCCCAGGGAAAGTAGTGACTACCTCTATAACCTGCTATATAGTACGCTCACTATACAATGGTAGAGAAGGCCACCTGTATACAAGTCAAGGCTTGATGCTCCCACGTGTACAGCTCGGAGAAAAAAGCAAGCACCCACCAGGCGCCGGACAAACGCATCGATCTCCCAGCCGACCTTAGTCTCAATCTAAATATAACGTTTGAGAGCTTCTCACTTCACAGTCCGTCTCAAACAAACCCGTTGGGCCCAGGCACCGGCTGGTACCCCTGGTGGCTGCACGTGACGAGAGCCCCATAAGCGACACCTCAGCAACGTCGCCCGCGCCGGCCTCCTGAGGTCACTTTCCGCTTCCCCAGTCTCGCCTTCCCATTCCCTAATCCCTATTTGACGTACTTTACCTTCTCCTTCCCTTTCTCACCTTATCTTCTCTTACTCATACCCTCAATTTCTTCTTCTCCTTTCCCTTTCCTTTACTATCCGGCGGAATCATTTGCGTGGCGTTTTGTTGGGTGGATGAGGTCGTCCTGCGGCCTTAAGTAAATATGGCTCCTCTACCGATCAAGTTTACGGAGCTTCTTAATGTGAGTCTTATCAAGCATTCGTTCTCGAATCGCCCGCGATATAGGAACTGACCACTGCATCTTCATCTCTTTTAGCTCACGAATGCTGAAATTGCGGTATGTGTTTACGCTCAATCGGGTGATGGCCTTTCACGCCCAATCTGGGGACGCGCCCGCTTGTCCCCTCCTGTAGATGAACCTCTCACTTACGTCTTACTTATTCTAGCCGGCATCGATTGGATTCAACTCATGTGTGAGTAGTGCCTCTCTATACTTCCAACCCATCTTCACTTTTGATGTAACTGCGCTAACGATCGTGTCGCTTCTGAACAGACTCTAGAATCAGACAACTTCGTGTGTGTCCGGCAAAAGCTCACCGAGGAGGACAAGCCGCAAGTTATCATCATTAACCTGAAGAACAACAATGAAGTCATCAAGCGCCCAATCAACGCGGATAGTGCTATCATGCACTGGAACCGTAACATCATCGCTCTCAAGGCTCAAGGGCGCACAATCCAGATCTTCGACCTGACGGCGAAGCAGAAGCTGAAGTCATCGGTCATGAACGAGGATGTTGTGTACTGGAAATGGTTCAATGAGAAGTGCCTGGGCTTGGTGACAGAGACCTCTGTCTTCCACTGGGATGTCTTCGACCCTACCCAGACGCACCCTCAGAAGGTCTTTGATAGGCTCCCTAACCTCGGTGTACGTATATTCAAGATCGCAGGGTATTGGTGCAACTTCCATCCTTACTAACGCTTCCTTGCTTTTAGGGTTGTCAAATCATCAACTACCGTGTTAATGATGACGAGAAGTGGATGGTGGTGGTCGGAATTAGTTCGCAGGGAGGTCGCGTGGTGGGATCAATGCAGTTGTACTCGAAAGACCGCGGGATCTCTCAGTTCATTGAGGGTCACGCAGCTGCTTTCGCCTCGATCCGTGTCGAGGGCTCTCCTCTCGAACACAAGCTCTTTACCTTCGCTGTTCGGACACAGACCGGTGCTAAATTGCAGATCGCTGAAATCGACCACCAAGAGCCGAACCCGAGGTTCCAGAAGAAGGCCGTCGAGGTATATTTCCCCCAGGAGGCGGTGAATGATTTCCCAGTTGCTATGCAGGTTTCCAGGAAGTACGACATTGTGTATCTGGTCACCAAGTATGGCTTCATTCACCTCTATGACCTCGAGACCGGCACCTGCATCTTCATGAACCGCATCTCCAGTGAGACGATATTCACTACTGCTCCCGATACCGATTCTGCTGGATTGGTCGGCGTGAACCGCAAGGGTCAAGTTCTGTCTGTCAGTGTCGATGAGAATACTATTGTCCAGTACCTGATGGAGAACCCGGCCATGTCTTGTCTCGCAGTGAAGCTTGCTTCCAAGGCGGGACTTCCTGGTGCAGACCACCTGTACCAGCAGCAGTTCGACAACCTCATCACACAAGGTAACTACTCCGAGGCCGCCAAGATTGCCGCGAACTCGCCTCGTGGCTTTTTGCGTACCCCGGAGACCATCAACCGCTTCAAGAATGCTCCCCAGACCGGACAGGGGATGTCCGTCATCCTCCAGTACTTCGGAATGCTTTTGGACAAGGGCTCTTTGAACAAATATGAGAGTGTTGAGCTCGTCCGTCCCGTTTTGCAACAGAACAGGAAGCACCTTCTTGAGAAGTGGATGCGCGAAAACAAGCTCGAAGGTTCCGAGGAACTGGGTGATATTGTTCGACCATATGATATGAACTTGGCCCTGGCTATTTACTTGCAGGCCAACGTTCCTCACAAGGTTATCGCCGGATTTGCAGAGACTGGTCAGTTTGACAAGATCCTCAGCTATTCGAAGCAGGTTGGATATCAGCCGGATTACACTCAGCTCTTGCAACATATCGTTCGCGTGAATCCGGAGAAGGGTGCTGAGTTTGCTACTCAGCTTGCCAATGAGGAGTCCGGCGCTCTCATCGACCTGGACCGCGTCGTAGATGTCTTCCTATCCCAGAACATGATCCAGCAGGCCACTTCATTCCTCCTGGATGCTTTGAAGGATAACAAGCCCGAACATGGTCACCTGCAGACACGCTTGCTTGAGATGAACCTTGTCAATGCCCCTCAGGTCGCTGATGCCATCCTTGGCAATGAAATCTTCACCCACTACGACCGCCCTCGTATCTCTCAGCTTTGCGAGAATGCAGGCCTCATCCAACGTGCGCTTGAGAACACTGACGACCCCGTGGCCATCAAGCGTAACATTGTCCGCACCGACAAGCTGAGCCCCGAGTGGTTGATGGAATACTTTGGTCGTCTCTCGGTTGAGCAGACTCTTGATTGCATGGACACCATGCTGCAGGTTAACATCCGCCAGAACTTGCAAGCAGTCGTTCAGATTTGCACCAAGTTCTCGGACTTGTTGGGGCCCCAGCAACTAATCAGCCTGCTCGAGAAGTACCGCACGGCCGAAGGTCTTTACTATTACCTTGGCAGCATTGTCAACCTTAGCGAAGACCCTGAGGTTCACTTCAAGTATATTGAGGCCGCCACCGCCATGGGCCAGATCACCGAAGTGGAGCGGATTTGCCGTGAGAGCAACTACTACAATCCGGACAAGGTGAAGAACTTCCTTAAGGAGGCTAAGTTGACGGAGCAACTGCCGCTGATCATCGTGTGTGACCGTTTCAACTTCATCCACGATTTGGTCCTTTATCTGTACCAGAACCAACAGTATAAGTCCATTGAGGTCTACGTACAGCGTGTTAACCCATCGCGTGCTCCCGCTGTCATTGGTGGCCTGCTAGATGTTGATTGCGAAGAGAGCATCATCAAGAATCTGCTCTCTACTGTTGATCCATCGGTGATCCCTATTG